TAACGCACACCACCATCATGGGTTAACCTCACAAGGCGACGTCCTCCACGCGCGCGCCATCGCCCCCTATCGCTTGCCCCAGCTAGACACACATCACTGCACGCGCGTCACTGTCGTGCGCCACCCACCTACTATGCTAACCTCATAGTGCGTGTCGCCCACGCCCACGCACCCGCACGCCTCTGTCTGCCGCCAACACCCCATGTCGTGCGCCCCCGCCACTCGCCCAAGCCGTGCCACCCGCACACCTCCTACCACACGCATACACCCCCACACCCGCACGCCTCTAACTATCGCCAGTGCCCCCTGTGCTCGCCCCCGCTCGCCATACCATGTCCAACATCTTTGTCTATGCGTCTCGGTTGCTGCCATACCGCCCACGTCCCCTTGTGCACGCTTGCCATGTCGCCCATCCGCCTAGCGCCTGCCCTCCTTACCGTCGCCCCATGTGCGCACCCCCTTAGTGTTAGTTTGCCACTTTTCACAAATAAGTTAATTATTTCCTTTCTTTTTCCTTGGTTTTATTTTAACAAAATACATTTAAGGATTAATTTTTCTTGCTTGGTTAGTAGGTTAGTGGATTTGAGGAAATATCTTTATTTGATTTTCCTTTGGTTTATTTTATTTTTATCAAAATTAGTTTTAGAAAAAGATTGCCTTACTTGATTAGCAAATTGGCAATATAAGGGAAATATCTTTCTTTCATTTATTTGTTTTATTTTATTTTTAGGTTTATTTTTATTATACAATATTCCTTGTAAAGGTCATGACCTTAGCCTATAAATAGGCATGTACTCCCCTCATGTTGGAGGCATCCAAGTTTTTAATCAATAGAATTGTTGAGTGTTTACTCTCACCCTTGCCATGTGCAAACTTCCGCCCCCCACCAAAGAAAAAATACTGAATCCCTTTGTGTGGTTGAACTTAGGTTTTCGTATTTTAACCATCGGAGCATGCTTGTTTGGTTGGTCACCGAACTCGTTGAGTGTTTCCGGCCTCGAGCATAGTGAGTATTATGTCTGCTCAACGTAACGACTGCAAAGGTAATCCCTCTAACTCTTAGCCTTTCGGGTTGAAACCATCTATACGATTGGGTTCAAGTGGCTTGTGGCTCGAGTAGTCCAGTACGTTTGAGTTGTCGCGTATCAAATGAATTATATGACTATATGCCTATGGTTGAAAAGGGAAGTTGTGAGAAGGAAGAAAAAAGAATAAGACCCAAGATATTTTGCCATACAAGCCGAACTTCAAGGAATTGTTCGATAAGGATCCTTACCTTCAAGTTATTATATTTTATCATAGTGCTTGTATTATTTTGAGATTTTTACAAGATATTTCAACTCTTAACTAGCATCATGGTTGGAACCAAGTAGAGTTGAAAGCTATGTTGAGAGATTACAAGATGGAGCTAAAACGACTCATCCTACCATTTCACATGATCTTGAGATGACTAATAAGGTAAGTATAAGATAAATATTAATTTTGAAGATACTAACTTTTTCGTTTGTGCGTAGGTGATCATAAACAAGTAAAATTATGGCCAATAGTCTTGAAGAAATACTTGTTCAAAAATCCTCCAAACAACACCATGGCCGAGAACACCAATTGCTATGTTGTAGAATTCAAAAGCCAAGCATCAAATGGAGGACAAGAAAATCTAAGCATAATGTCAACAAACCAAGTGATTGGGTTTGAAAGCACTTTTGGAAAGAACGAAGATGTATTAAAGGAACATTCAAATGAAGGCCGATGAGAGCATCAATATCAATAGACTTCAAGATTGCTTTACAAGAAATCCAAGGAGTTATGTCCACTCGAGAGGACGAAAAAGAAAGTGGCCTAGAAATCCTCAAAGGTGAGTCAATTGCAATACTCATGGAGAAAGACCATAAGCCTTCAACAGTGCAAAGATAACGCACAAGGTAAGAGTACACATTTTAAGGCTTATTATTAACTTGATGTGTTTGAATGTATGTAACATACTTGATTCGAGGACGAATCCCTTTCAAGGAGTAGATGATGTGATCATAATTGGCCAAAAACTCCAAGAGTCAAACTACATCAACAAGGAGGAAGATCAAAGGGATAGACTCCCTAAAAGGAGGAAGCTACGTTGGACCCATAACCAAATTTTGATAATTTGGAGGACCAAAGGTTGCTTTTGGTCAAGAACTCCAAGAATCAAACTACATCAACAAGGAGGAAGATCAAAGGGATAAACTCCCTAAAAGGAGGAAGCTACGTTGGACCAATCACCAAATTTTGACAATCTTGGAGAACCAAAAGCAACCATCAAAGGTCAAGAAGAAGAGGAAGATCGAGAAAGAACCATGGCTAGGCACCAAACAAGCAAGAAGACGACCAGTGCGCGCACGCCTGCGTCATCGCATAGCCACGCACGCAAGTGCCCACGCGCACGCCCAGCTAGACACACGCCAATGCACCCGTGCACCCCTGTCACGCGCATGTCCCCGCCAGGTGTCACAATTGCACTTTTCAAAAGACTTCCAAAGCCATTGTGTGGCACTTGCTCCTGCCCACAAGCAAGTCAGCCAACGAGAATCAGAACCTCCACCACCGTTCTCGAGAAAACGGTTTTGAAAAACGGGGTTAGAGAAAAAAGTTTTGAAAAGCGTTTGAAGATATTTTGGAAATCTTGTTGTATGCTTGAATGCAAGAGAATAGATTAGTGGCAAGACAAGAATACAACTCGACGTAGGGAGGAGACTAGGTGTACCCCCTATAGTACATTATAAAGTATTTTGCCTATGACAGACGTGAACATGTAAAGTGGCGAGGAGTCACTCGCCACCAAAAGTATAATGAAAAGTAAATAACATGTCAAACTAAATACATAACATAAAAGTAGAAGGGAAGAAAGTGTTATGGGTATGCGGCCATGGGCGACAGGTTCTGGATGAGCAATGACCATGACACCAGGCCCTAACCTCACAGTGCCTCTCCATACCGCATCAACGCCTGCACGCCTCTGCGACGCTAACCTCGTAAGAGGCCAATGCCTCCCTTAATGCGCGCCAACTAGCTCCATGTGTGCACCCTTGCCATGCCACTTGTATACCCTCGCCAATGCCCACGCCATGCTAACCTTGCAAGAGGTCTGTGCCATCCTTAAGTCGCACGCCCCACTAGCCCATTCGTATTCCCACGCCCGCTTACCCGTGCACCCCACCTACCATGCCAGCGTTCCTCATGTGCGTCTCACCTGCCCTCGCTAGCACCCACTGCCCGCCTACACTCATGCCGCCAGCCCCATGCACGCGCCTCCTTTTGCTATCGCCACCCCTATGGGCGCCCCATCCTTGGCGCCAAAACAAGTTATTTACGGCCCACTCCATTGCATTGGTAGGAATTTCCCTATTCCTAATTTGTTTCAAAACAATTGTGAGATTTATTTTATTTCCACTCTAGATTTATCAAGTATTTTGAGTTTTATGAAAAGAACTTTATTTTGATTTTTCTTAATTTATTTTATTTTTATCAAAATTAGTTTAAGGAAATGATTGTTTTACTTGATTAGCAAGTTGATAATTTAAAGGAAATATATTTTCATTATTTTGTTTTATTTTTTATTTTTCTTTTACAATTTCCTGGTAAAGGTCATGGGCCTTAACCTATAGGCGTGTTCTCCTAGCGTTGAGTGTTTAAGGTAACGACTGCAAAGGTAATCCATCTAACCCATAGTTTTTCGGGTGGAACCACTTATACAATTAGATTCAAGTGGCTAGAGGCTCGAGTAGTCCATATGCTTGAGTTGTCGTGTATCATGTATACTTATATTAAATTTCGCTTTTTATATATTACATACAATTGAGGGTATATTTTTTAAATTCTGATAAATTTTTTTGGTTCTATATTACTTGGATTGGAGTATATTTTTTACACATACAAAAACTTTTTTTGTTATGGTTAATTTCTCTACAGACGATTGTATACAATTATATAATAAAGTCATGGGTTTATAAGTATGTATGTTTGTGGGCATGAACTTAGAATATGTTAAACAAACTACTGTACTGTACATAGTGATATATATGTTATACATTTATATCCATGTATATATTTGCCTAAAGTTTGTATTGCACGACAGAGAATATTGGAGACAATAAATAATGGCTGCTGAGAAAAAGATTCAGAAAGAAAGAAAATTGAAATTAATCTCCTGTCAGAAAATCGAAATCAATCTTCACGCTGTGTAAAATAAAAGAATAAGGAAAAAACAAAAAAACTTATTGACGATGGGTTATCTTGTCCATGAAAAATGCATAATATAGTGTTTGGTGGCGGCTTACAGCGAGGGAAGAAGGTGCATAAATTCGCCRGAAAGAAAACGGGGACAAAATAAAATGGGACCCACGTTATATTAAATTGAAACCATTTGAATAAATTTGATTCAAATATGGAAAATTTTTAATTCATAGATCGAATAGTATCGAATAGTATTAATTGAGGGCAAGTTGGGAATAAACCAAAAAGAAAATTAAAATCTCAAAATCTAACTATGAAAATATAAAAAAAAGAATTATTTGTGAAATATAGTGTCTAATTTGATTCATAAAAGACAATTCCTCTCATTTCTATTCAAATGTTAATAGGCCACTAAACTTGTGTAGGAGCCGTTTGAGATTGCTTGTGAAACTATTAAGGAGAAACTTGATTTTGGTTATAGTTTGTAACTTGATTTTGGTTGTAATTTGAATGACATATTTTCACTAATGTAAAAATTACTTCAATTTTAAAATAGACGTACTCAATCATTTATATATATATATATACATATATATATATATATAAAATAGTTATAGTTTTAAATTTCTGATTTGTCTCTCTAAAATTTTATTTTTGTAATCTCTCTCTAATTTTTTAGTTCCCATGTGTGTCTAAGTTTGTTCCTCTCTAAATTTTTCTCCCCCAAAACTTTTGCCAAATTCTCTTTTTAATCTTCCAGTATTAATAATTCGAAATCACTTGTCACTAATCTCTTTTTTGCTAAAATCACCCATTCTAAAATCATTCCCGAACATATTAAAAGAAATAAAGGCACCGTACCTAAGTTTCTTCTGAGATTTATGTTAGTTGTTTCCTTTAGATATATCGCATACAAATCCCCCAGAAGTATATCGTCTTTAGAATGGCCGTGCATCAAAGTTCTATTTCAAAAAACCGCATCCACTTCAGTTCACTACGGCAAGCCCTGCATCCCAAGTAGAATCCTGTAAAATGCATACAAAATTCGATCTGTTATAAAAAGCGAAACTCTATCTTTGTTGAAAACAAAAAAGTTTTTCAACAAGGTCTAAAATTACAAGTTTCATCCCTATAGTTTGGGCAAAACTTTCAATTTAGTTCTTGCAGTTTTAAAAGTTTCAATTTAATTCTTGCGATTTTAAAAGTTTCAATTTAATGATTGAACCAAACCTCACGAATCGTCGATATCAAAACTTTTAAAACTATAGGAGTCAAAATTGAAACTAAGTCTACTAAACCATAGTGACTAAATTAAATTAAACTCAAATTATGGAGACAAAACTTATAATTTAATTAACTAAGCATAAATTATAGGTAAACAAACAACCCATCTAAAACTAACTAAATCACTATCGAACAGAACAGCCCACCAACGACCCTTTCAGCTGCTCACTCAAACCTCATTATGAGTTAAGAGCAGATAAAATTTCAAGGATCAAATTCCATCGCCAAACAAACCGGCCTAGTTAATTTGATGCAATATTTGTGAAGAATTTATCTCCAAGTTGAAGCACTAAAAAGTTACAAAAACTAACGTAACATTGTATGAAACATCCCATGTTTATTTGTAGTTGTACGATTATCTGCTGTGTATTCAAAAGTATACACAAATCACATCAAATCTTTTATCAGAAAATGGTTAGCCTCAACAAATTTTACAATAGAAGCAATTAAATTAGGCCTTTGATAACTTTTTCTTTTTTTTTTTTTTTGAGAACTAAAAAAAGTAGTTGACTTGTTTTTGTTTTTTAAATTTGACTAAGGATTCAAATGTCTTTCTAAGAAAGGCAAAAAACCATACCAAACAAATTGTGAGAAAGTAAGCATAAATTAAAATTTTATAAAACTAAAAACAAAAATCGTTATAAAAAACAAGACCTAAAGAAGAGTAGGCCAAAAAAAGTATTTACTAGGAAGTTGAACTACATTTTAGATATAATCTAGGCAAGAGTAAATCTAGGGATGCATTGTTGTTTTCATAACTTCTGCCATGTCACATAATAAATTCTTTTCTTGAAAATTAGAGAGTATAGAAGAAATACTTTCATGATGATATGGCCCTTGACCGACCTCTTTACTTCCATTTCTTCTATGACAAATGTATAATATAAAAAATGGAACTGCAGTGAATTGGTTTCAGTTACAAAAAAATATTGAAAGTCAACCCATCTAACAAGTATCAACTGAAAGCAGAGTAGTCATGTCAACAGTCAATCAACAACCTTATTCATCCATTTAGCTTATCTGAAAGTGAAAACCATAGACAATTCATGAATTGAATTTATTTTCTAATAACATAGCTAAAGGAACAGTTCTGTTTGAAATTACCTTCAAAACTCGGTATGGCCATTCTGAAGTAAATTTCGAGCATTGCATAAAATAGTATTGGCTTCCTCATTTGATGAATCTAGCAACCGCAGTTCCTTGATCTCATGTTGCCATTTTTCAACATGATCCTTATGAATGCTGGGAAAAAAGAAAGAAAATAAATGAGGTTAAAAGAAAATAGTTCTCAACAAAAATATTCGAGGCTATGTATTCAAATTTCAACTCACGCTATGATTCTCTCTTCAAATTCATTACTAAGATCTTTGAAAACAGTCTTTCCCGACTCCAGGAGTTCAGACACCTTCATCAACAAACAATTAATGGTGGATGACTAGAAAATACTTGCAAAGAAATAAACCCTAAAAAATAATACAGATTGCTGTAATATCACCTGAGGTCCAGCTTTTTAATCAATTATATAAAATCGCAGAAAGATAAGTTAGATAGCTAGCTAATTCCTATCAGCCAAACTCATATTTTCCGCCCACAAGGATTGAGCGTAGCCACCACCTACCAGCTGTGTGAAGCTCTCAATCTTTTCAAGTAGGCGAGTTATATTTGATTCCATCTCCTCGGATCCCCTAATGCTCGTCTCGCACTGCTCGTTTTCTATAATGTTGGACATGCCAGTATCCTTTTCCTGCTCTTCCATCTGAGAAAGTGGAAATTTCTTGAAGTTCTCATTTCCATTTGCATTGGCTTGATAAATAACAACATAAGAAAAAACAGTAAACATACATCTAATTTCATGCGTTTCCCAGTGAATTCAGTACCGTGGCTTTGCATTCCAAATATGCGATGGTTATCAATCAACTGTACTGTGTAGAATGGTGAGAAATTTTCATAAAACAAAAATTCGTATAATGAGAAGAACCTACTCAATTTTCTTATAAGGATGTGGTTGCCATGTGTTAATGATTGTTACGAGCACACATTGATGCACTCACAGAGAGAGCGATACTCATACGACAAGAAGAGATTGATTTGGATGCTTACCTAAAACTAAAACCAGGAGATAAGATAAACAGAATTTGGAAGCGGACGTGCAGAAGTAAGTGTAAAATAGTTAACACTCTCTGAAATAGAAGCACAAAAAAGGTTGAAATTAGAACAAAAGTTCCAGTGAGATTCTCAAAAGTTAGGTTACAAACATCAATCGACTTTAAAATCCTACCTGATAGCATAGCAATGCAACAAGGAGACGCAACACATTCAGCAGTCACAAAATGCTTACAATCTTGACTTACAATTCACACAGCTATAGGATTATTCAAAATTTCTCCACCTTGCCTATTCAAAATGAACTTGAAAAATTATCGACAAACTTACTGCACGAGAAATTACACAATGCGGAATTCTTTTGCTTTTCCGGTAGCGTAAGATTTGAAAACGAGAATCAAATGGCTAAAACATCGGGTTTCACCAAGAACCGACACTAAGCTGTTCATCGTCACTTTTCTTTGTGAAATTGATTCAAGCGGCCGAATACTAAACTACGATGATCGAATTTTCGGAGGACTGGAACTAATTGCATTTGAAGCGCAGCAACATCAAAAGGAAAAGAATAACAATGATATGGAGCATTCGAGAGACAGAGAAAATACGATTCGATATGCTCTTACCAGATTTCTCTGGTTAATTGCTTTCTCCACCTCCGTTAGTTTTCTGAATTAGCGCGCCTCGGAGGAGCGAAACAAGCGTTTTATACTTTTAGGGGGTAAGAAACCGAACCGGTTCGAATCGGTTCTTGGTGAAACCCGATGTTTTAGCCACTTGGTAAGAAACCGTTGCCACAAGCGGTGGCGCGATGGAATCCCCAAACGGCTAGCCCTGAATGCACCTTCGTCTGATCTCTCGACGACAACCCAAACGATTTCCTCTCCCTCTAATTTGAAGAAATTTTTGATGTAGGAAAGATTTCTGGAAAGTTTTATTGGCTAAATTTCAGTTTCAAGATGTAATTTTAGTGGGTTAAATTTCAATTATAATATCAAAAGATTTTTGGATTTAATTTAATTTCAAGATGGAAGGATGCGTGTCTCTCCAATTTCCATTTCAATTAAGGAAAGATCTCTTTATTTAATTATATTTTCAATTAGAGAAATATCTATCAATTCAATTTCAATTTCAATTATGGAAAGATCTTTAGGTTTAATTTGAATTTCAAAACGGAAAGATAGTGAATCTCTCTCCAATTTCAATTTCAAGGATCAAAGAGCCAGGGAGTCCATCCGAAATATGAAAAAATGGATCAGTACATTGATAGCTTTTATTTAAGAGATTATAAATTATGCGAGGTATAAAATTTGCACTTTTGTCATAAAATAACCATTTTTTACCATTATATCATTCTTTATTTACACAATAAATGATTGGAATTAAAAATGGTTTGATTTGAGAGATTAGATTTTAAATCGCTTGTTTTATGCTCATTTACACTTTCCAAAAATAAAAATACCGAAATAATCAAACTCAAATCCCTAAAAAAATTTTCGTCTCATTCATCCGCCGATTTCTTCTTTTTCCCCAAACACCAATTTTTCCGACCATTTACTCCATTCACTCGCCGATATCAGGTTGTATCAAGCCGTTGCGTCAAGGTCCTCTGTTCTCGTTGCCGATCGTTTACTCCACTTATCTTGTAGCATACCGTAGCAGGCTGAAGCAAACCGTTTACTCCGTTCTCGTAGTCGTTTGTTTCGTCTTCTTCCCACCATGATATATTTTACATATCCATATATCTTTAAAATGGTACCCATTCCTTTAGATGAACTAGTTTTGTACTATTTAAAGAGTATGGAAAATATATGGGTACCCATTCCTTCAATAGCAAAGACCAAGATATGGAGCATTCGGTGGTAAACAAAAAAATTTCTCTCAACAAATTTGAGGCCATTATGGAAGCAAAGGCGAAGTTTTTCTTTTCTGTTATAATGGCAGATGGTTTATTATAGGACATATTTCTCATGAAGGCAATATGGTGGGATCCATTTGATACGCGACAACCTAACCGTATTGGAGTGGTTCAACCCGAAAGGCTAAAGGTTAGATGGATTACCTTTGCAGTCATTATCTTGAACAGACATAATATTCACTATACTCGAGACTGGAAACACTCCACGAGTTTGATGACCAATCAAACGGGATAAAATCTAATTCTCAATTCTATATCAATCAAAGGTTCAACGGTGTGCAAATGTGTAAAATAAAAATAAACCTAAAAATAAAATAAAACAAATAAATAAAGGAAAAGATATTTTCTTTAATTGTCAACTTGCTAATGAAGGCAATCCTATCCTAAAACTAATTTAGATAAAAATAAAATAAACTAAAGGAAATTTTTCCTATAATCCACCAAGTTGCTAACCAAGCAAGGAAAATTATTCCTTAATGAAATTTGATAAATCAAAATAAAACCAAGAGAAATATAAAGGAAATAATTTCCTTATTTGTGAAGGGTGGGTAGCAAGCAA